GCCACCTCGGGGCCACTGCCAGAAACATGCATTTGAGATCACCCCAAGTGCCCAGGAACAAAAATACATTTTAAAAAATTGTTCTAAGTTAAGGGAAACTGATCCGAGAAATAAAAGCGTGTGTGTGTGTGTGTGTAAGTATGTGTGTGCTGAATTTTCATTTCGATTTTCGTAGATGGTTGGTTGTGATGTCTTTATTGGTGTGGGGAGCCCAGGAAGCTCTGTTCGGTCGCGTGGATTTTTGCGCAAGTTTTTAGAAAAACACTGACTCGAGTAGAGAGCATTTCTCCGGAAAGTTTCAAGTGCAGCAAAATAGCGAGCCTGCAAAACTGGCCAAGGGGGGACCTCTAGTGGTTAAACGCACCTTAAGTTCGCGAGGCAGAGAGCAAAGTTTGGCCTTTACTTGTAGCTACGTAGTCCGTTTAGACGTGGAAGTAATTAGAGGACCTGAGTTAGCAGCCAGATGTGAAGGATGCTGATCAGAAATAGAAAGTTTTGTAAATCAGAGAACAATGAAGTCTGAGTTTTCGGGCCCTGTGATTTCCACCCTTCTTTGCTTGCATTAGAAAACATACTTTTATTCTGAGATTTGAGATTGACATACCTTAGATAAGGAAATTTGTTTTATAATTACCGTCGTCTGTATCTTTCACCGTTTTTCCCCGCTAAGAATCGTAGCAGGTAGCTTAATTTGGAATACAACGTGTGCTTAAAACTTAACAAAAAGTGAAAAAAAACCTTGAAATTTGCTTTTTATATGAGCCGATTGTTTTGTTCTCTGATGCATGTGTGATTTCAGGCTAACAAGTTGTTCACTAACTTACATATTTACCAATAAAATAAATAGTACCTTCTCTTTGCAAGAATGTAATTTTGATTCACCGAGTAAAAAAGTTATTTCGGGGATACATTGTATAACTTGTGATTTAAAACATTTATGTGGGTAAAAATATGAGTTACATAACTATTTCTCAGTGTGTCTACTGTAAAGGATCTTGAATTTTAAAGGTTAAAAAACAGAGAAATGTAGTTTGTGTCTTATCATCCTTGTAACTGCCCATATCTATCATACACAAAAGAGAGACAAGGTCCACCTAAGTAGCCCAGGCTGGTGTTGAACTTACATCTTCCTGCCTTAGTATCCTTAGAGCTTGGGTAACAGTACCCTTATTTACAATGAGAAATTTTACTGTGTGAACTTAGAATATGGGGATGGTGTGAATAATTAAAACTGATTTTGCCTCGTATTGAACTGGTTAATTTTATTTTAATACACAGCGATGTTGTGTTATATGTTGGGTTTGAATTGTAGATTATAGATGTAATGGCTTCATGAGAGAGTGCTTTGATTGTTTTTTTGTTTTGTTTTGTTTTTTGTTTTTGTTTTTCTTTTCCTCTTTTAAAATTAGTGCTAGATCCTTAAGTGAAGTCTTGGGGGTACACAGCAAGTTGTGAAGGCCACCAGACAGTTCTGCCTTTCACCACCACCTCAAGGTAAGAGTCACTTGTTGCAACAAACTGTTTTAATGTACTAGACATACTGGACACTGCATGTGGAAATCAAGGAGACTGTGTGACAGGGTTAGTAGAGGGGGAACTGTTTTGAACATGTGAACAAGTAGACACCAAGTGTGCTTGAAAAGTTAGGAAAAATGAGATTGGTCTCGGGTGTGTTTATGTTTTTGGTGTGGGTACATGGGGAGGCACAAGATCAACTGGAGTTGTTACTTGCCTTCCTGTATTGCTCCCCCGCCCCTTTTTAAAAACCTGGTTGCTTTCTCTGAATCTGGCTTGCTGATTGGCTGGATTGGCTGGCCAATAAGCTACAGGGCTCCCTCTATTGTTATCCTCCCCCAAGTGCTCAAGTTACGGATGAGGGTGCTTTTACTGGAATGCCCAGGACATGAACTCACATCTTCTTCTTCATGCTTTTGTGACTGTCACTTTATTGACTGAGGTTGCCCCCAGCTCCGTGTTACTCGATTCTTTTTTTTTTTTTTTTTTTTTTTTGGGGGGGGGGGGGGGGTGGCGGGGCTGTTTTGAGGCAGGGTTTCTTTTTGTAGCCCTGTCTATCCTCTCTGTAGACCAGGCCGGCCTATCACTCAACAAGAGATCTGCCTGTCTCTGCCTCCCTAGTGCTGGGATAAAAGGCCTGTGCCACCAAGGCCAGGCTGTTATTGGATTCTTAATTAGCATTTCAGCACCCATTTTTCTACTGAAAGCAATTTTTTTCTTTTGAATTGATAAAGTGAGGAAACCAGAACAAAGCAGTTGTGAATAAACAAATACCTTCTAATGGTAGGAAAGAGCCGGGAACTTTATAAATGTCTTTGCAGTTAATTAATTAACATGTAATTAACAATTAAGTGTCTCCTGTGGATTAAATCTTGGAGGGCCTTACTTCTGCCAGATACCATGTTTTAGGGATAGAGCATAGATTCATGAGTTTTTTAAGACATTCTGTGGGAATATGGAGCTGTTGTCTAGTAAGATCTTTTTGCTCTTCTTGGAGGGTGCTGGCTTAACCCTAGTAATAATCCAAGACCTACCTTTGACCAAGACCTTTTGATTGGGGGGGTGGGGAACCACAGCTGGGTTAGAATAGCTAAGTAGTGCTTTATGTTATTTATTCTGTTTCTACACCTTAATTTTCCTCTCTCCTATCCCACTGGCTTTCCTGCCTCTTCTGTCTTGAGGACTAAAGAGTTTGCTAAATCCTCTTTTGGCAGAAGCAAAAGGAAATGAAAGCCAGCTTTCCTTATAAAGTTTATTTATTTATTATTAGTATCTCCCCCTCGAGCGCACGCGCGCACGTGTGTGTGTGTGTGTGTGTGTGTGTGTGTGTGTATGTGTATGTGTGCATGTGTGTGTGCATATGTGTGTGTGTACGTGTGTGTGTGCGAGCGCATGTGTATGTGTGTATGTGTGCATGTGTGTGTGCATGTGTGTGTGTGTGTGTGTATGTGTGCATGTGTGTGTGCATATGTGTGTGTGTGCATGCACGTGCTCGAGTTCTTGCACGTACATGTGTGAGTATGCATAATATTATATGTATGGCAGTCAGAGGACAGTCTTGGAGTTATTTCTTCCTTTCCATCTTCATATGGATTTTGGGGATTGAACTCAGGTTGTCAGGCCTGAGTGACACCTTTACCCGCTGAGACATCTCCGTGGCCTAAGCCTTCTTTTTATAAGCAGAGCTTGTAAAAAGGATCTTCTGCAGGTCAGGTGTGGATTACAAGTGAAACTGAATAATGACCAGAATACAAGTGATTGTAAACAGTAGTTTATTGTCATTTTCTGTTTGTGGATTGACTTAAGTAGTGCAGTTAGTAGACTTTATGAAGTCCTGTCATGTGTGGGTGATCCAGCAGAGACAGTGGACAAGAACAGCTACATGGCCATGCAAACAAGAGTACAATTCCAGGGAGAGTAGTACCCCAGCTTTGGGTAGTTAGTGTAGTGTCTGTGTGCTGAGTTGAAGACAATGCTTTATAGTCTTCATCGAGGAGTCACTGTGTCTGTGGATAGCAAGCTAGAGTGGGAACCAGAAAGCTGGCCATCTAATGTATCATCTTGTAGGAGTTGCTGGGCCTTCTTTATCCTAGATTTTCCCCTCTGGAAATGGGAATGTCAACGTTGGCCTTTTGTTTGTTTGTTTGTTTTTGTAAAGGAAGTTTCAAATAAAATTCAAGTGTGTGGTGGTGATCATTTTATCCTGTCACTGTCACCAGGTTTTGTGAAGACCAAGAGTCAGATTGTATAGGGCACAGCCTGGTGATTCAGTCCTGGCTTTATATATACTTTTTATCAGAAGTATCTAGCTGTGTTTTTCTTTCATTCTTTTTTTGTTTTGTTTTGTTTTGTTTTTTTGTTTTTTTGTTTTTTTTTTTTTTTGGTTTTTTGAGACAGGGTTTCTCTGTGTAGCTTTGGAGCCTATCCTGGCACTCATTCTGTAGACCAGGCTGGCCTCAAACTCACAGAGATCCGCCTGCCTCTGCCTTCTGAGTGCTGGGATTAGCCTGCTGTGTCTTTCTTTTACTTAATATTTCCTTCTTTTCTTTTCTTTTTTTTAGACAGGATCTTGCATTTGTAGCTCTGACACTCTGTGTAGACCAGACTGACCTGGAACTCACAGAGATCCTCCCACATTTGGCTCTGGAGTGTTAGGAGTTAAGTCCTGTGTCATCATGCCTGGCCTTGTCTGTCTTTTCTTTTTATTTAAATTTTGCTTTGGATTTATTTGTTTATGCCTTGCATGCCTTTCATCCCACCTATCAGAGGGCAGAGGCAGGTGGTTATCTGTGAGTTTGAGGATAGCCTGGTATACAGAGCTAGTTCCAGGACAGTCAGGGCTACACAGAGAAGCCCTGTCTGGAAAAAAAAACAAACAAACACAAAAAAGATTTATTTATTTATTTACTACTTTATAAGTATGTGTGCTCTGCCTACATGTATGTCTGTGTACCACATTTGTGCTTGGTGAACTCCAAAGTCAGAAGAAGGTGTTGGATCCCCTAGGACTGAAAGTGGGTGCTGAGAGTCTAACTCGGGTCCTCTAAGAGCAACAAGTGCTCTTAACCACTGAGCCAACTCTCTAGCTCAGTTGTCTTTTGTTTCTTAAGAAAAACTATATTGGTTCTGAAGGGAGGAACAATGCTCTATCATGTTGCTGGTTACAAAGTCCCAAATGAATAAGAGCTAAATGAAGGAAATGTTTGAAATAATGCCCGCTGATGGAAATGGTAGGGTGAGGGAAGTATGGATTGTATGAGGGGAATTTGTTTACTGTAATTAACATTTTGGTGGTATAGCCTGGAAAAGAGGGTGAGAAAATAGCTGACTGGGAAGGTGGTAATGGGAGTCACTGGGGAGGAGGGAGGACAGGAATTGATTTCTAAGAATGACTGGTTTTAAGGAAAAGTTCAAATAAGACTCTCCCCAGCTGTTTTTCAGACATCCTTGTTGCTGTATTGCTCATTACAGCTAACTCTCTACAATTTAGACAGAAAACAGAGAGAGAAATACTATGTTATTATTTTCATCCTAATGATACTGAACCCGACAAACAAACCCTGACATGTTCTGGTTTTATTAGTTTTATTTCATCTTCTTTTTTATAGATTATCCAATCAATATCCTGAGGGTCTAAACACTCAGTAGTGAAGGAAAGAAGATGCCCTTGTCCATTTAATTAATCCCGGAGTAATGGAGAGGTAGTTATTGAGTAAACTCCATGCTTTATGTTCTTTTCTAATTCTATGCCTATTGGCATTTTGCCTGCATGCATATCTGTGTACCACTTGTGCCTAGGGAGGTCAGAAGACATTTTAGAATGCCCTGGAGTTACAGATGCTTGTGAGCCACTGTGTGAGCTCTGGTAATAGAACCTGGGTCCTCTGGAAGAGCAGCCAGGGCTCTTAACCACTGAACCATCTCTCCAGCCTATGGTATTTCATTTTTAGGAGTCAAGCGATATCATAGATAAGATACCCATGATTTATGGTAGATAGATCAGGATAGGAACATTATAAGAGAAATAACTTTGTATGGTATGTGACAGTGGAACCCATGGGTTCTCATGGGCAGATAGGTTAAGGAGTCTTCCCCCAAGCAATGTTTTTGGTTGCTTAACTAGTTGTTACTGAGTTTTAACAGTGTTGAAATCTGCAAGGCTACGTTTTGTTCCTGTGGAGCTCCCAGGATCTTTAGCCCAGGAGGACAGATAACTGAGAGCTCTGCCAATTGTAACAACTGTTGAAGTCTGTTCTAGTGTATATATAGTAATAGTGTAACAAGTGCACATTGTGCCAAGGAAGAGAACACATGCTCTAGGTGTTGGACAAGCTAGTGAGTCAGGAAACATGACCTCGGGTCCTGACTGATAGTGTCAAATGTCATACATACATCCATATGTATGTATCCCATCTTAATCAGTCTCCAGAAACGAGTAAGGCACTTTCTAACTAGAGCTGAGGAACACCTTAGTTGTGCTTCTAGTAAAAGTGATGGATTTTCTTTGACTCATGTGTTCACAAGGCAAGCTGGTGAAGACCTGCTCTACCACTGTTCCTATTTGCTAGTATTGAATGGACTCATATCTCCTTGGGATTTGGGCGTTGTTAAAATATAGACAAAGATACTGTCATTATGTGTTCACATGTGTACAGATTTATATATATGATGTCTTAAAGTTGAAGGGACCTGAAGAAGTGGTATTTTTTTAAATATTCTGTAATATTTGTCTATTTTGTAAAATCTAAATTATCTAGTGGAGCGATTCTCAGGGGTTGTCCTTTTACAGTTTTAAATTATCTCAGTAATATGTGTGGATATGAGTCAGTGATTGTTTGTTACCTTACGCAGCAGGTGGCAGAAAGGCAGTACCAGGAACAGATAGCCCTGATGTAAAGTTGAATTTGATATGAAGTTGAGGAATCCCCATCTAGGAAACAGGTAGTTTGGACGAAGGAAAAGAATGTGTCAAAGGAACT